CTGTGTAGTATGTAGGTTGAATCTTTGTTTTACAAGATCTGTTCATATATACAATGACATATTACTCAGTCATCAGAAGGGATGAATACCCAATTTTTACATCAACATGGATTGGACTGGAGGAGATTATGCTAAGTGAAATAAGTCGTCAGAGAAATTAAATTAAATTATCATATAGTTTCACTTATTTGTGGATCATAAGGAATAGCATGGAGGACATTAAGAGGAGGAAGGGAAAAATGAAGGGGGAGAAAATGGAGTGGGGAATGAACCATGAGAGACTATAGACTCCAGGAAACAAACTGAGGGTTTTAGAACAGACAGGGGTAGGAGGATGGGTGAGCCTGGTGATGGGTATTAAGGAGGACACAGATTGCATGGAGCACTGGGTGTTATACGAAAGTAATGAATCATGAAACACTACAACAAAACCTAATGATGTACTGTATGATGACTAACAAAACACAATTAAAAAAAAAACCCATGATGTCTTTTCTTAATTTACCTACTTTTCAAGATATATGTATTCACTGGGCCTAAAATCCCCATATCAAGTAAATTATGACAAAGGACATATAGAAGAAGCCATATTTTGATATATAATTAAAAAAATTATAAGACATTATTTTTAAATTACTTTCATTAAATTTCTTTAGCATTCATTCCTTTAATTAACTGTATTTTGCTCACCAGCAGCTCTCTTCCTTCATCAGGGTTTATCATGGATAGCACTAGCTTTTCATAACACCTGGAAGTCTTAAAATACATTTTCAATAAATAAGCAATATTTGGTTTAAATCTCAAGATTGGAATTTCTGCACTATTTTATTGAAATTGGAGATCCAGTTTAAAAAAGTATATTATTACTCTTCCATAGGTAATAATGTGCCACTCCTCTGTATTTTTACCCTTATTTCATTTTTTTTTGCATATTCTTTTTTCCTTTTAGATTTCTTATCAATTTTAAGACTATTCTGAAAAATAATACCATGACTGACTTACATATTTTGGCTACTGATTAAACCTTTGAGGGAATAAATGAAAAACTAAGAAAGAAGGTATTAATAGATAAGAAAAGGTTCATGTGAACAACACTGAAAATCAGTACTAATAGTTCAATTTTGTAGGAGCAGAGAACATACTTAAAGAAACTGTCAATGAAAATGGTCCAATATCACAGAATTGGAGGAGGTATACTATACTTGTGTAAAAATGTTAATGAAAATTCAATGAACAGTATTCATTTACCAACATCAACTATGCCTGATGGATATTATTCATTCATTCATTCTTTCATTCAGCAGGCTTTGGGGAGAAAAAACCTCAATGTCTAACAAGGTGCATATGATTCCTCAAGCCTGAAGCTATCCCAAGGATGTACTCATGCAGAGTATGAAGGATATCTCTAAGAATTTAGCCCATCTTTTTACTTCTGAACACAGATCCATATTTCCCTTGGAAGAACATGGTTTAGGTTCAGTTTAAATTATCTTCCACCCATTTGGTCAAAATCAAGGACCAGCTTCTAAGAACCCCTGAGGCATACTCTTTGAGTTATTCAAAATGAAAGTTAGCAATAATACTTCATATTTGTTAAATAAGATGGCCACGAAGTACCTTCAAGGTTTCATTCTGAAAACACCACTGTTCCATTCTCTATTTAGTCATCAATAATCAAATAAAAAAGGAAAAATACATAAACTCATAATAAGATCATGGTATAAAAATCCTATTAATTTCTTACTTATGACACTCTAAGGTAAATTGCTATTGCAGAAAGTATATAGGCTCTGCAGTTAGAAAAATGTGGGTTAAAAATATAAATGGGCCACTTAATAGATTTGTGATTTTGAATGGTACTTCATTTCCTTAGGTATCTATTTTCTCTCTTTACCTTGTACATGAAATTTCAAGCATATTTTGGGAATTAATTGAAATAATATAAATGAAGGTCCTGTATAAACCATGTGGTACTAAATATGCTTTAAGAAGAGCTGGTTTATTTATCTTCCTATAGTTAGAATTGATTTCCAACTTTGGGCAGAATATTCTTAGTAACTGTGTTTAAAGAAAGGCATTATGTATTCCAATGGCATACTAAGGATTTATGTATTCTATCTCATTCAGTCTTCATCATGACACACTTATGCAACTTTATCTTTATTCCCAAATGAAGAACTGGGGTCAGTTTGGTTTTGTACCTTAGATATATTCATATAACTAACAACTGTTCAATCTAATCAGGGACTACCTAAAATTAAAGTCTATTCTCTTAAAGAAGGTACTACCTAGCCTGTTTAGAAAAACAGGCACAGAGATGGTAATTTCCTGCTTTTTATTTAATAGAGAATGAAAAAACTGATTAATAAAACAAAACATGGACTTCTATACCCATTTGCAAAATAGAACTCCAGTATACCCTATTTAATCTAGTTAAAGGTTGAACTGATAAGTAATGATGCAATGATATAGTTTGGGAGACTCCATTGCTTTCTATATGTCTGACTTACCTCTGATTTTCATACAGGCTCACGAACATGCAGAATGGCTGGAACATAAAAAAATATTAGCGGCTGTCATTGTTGTAATCCAGGGAAACCCAGCATTCCCGGACACACTTCCTCTCAGTGAACTGCTTTGCTTTCTACTGCTAATGTTTTTGTCTTAAATTTTCCATTTTATCTAGAGGAAGCGTATTTCTTTGAGTACAGAGAATGAGAAAGGAGCAAATAGATGAGGAAGAAAAAATATCAAAAGGTGTTTTAAAACTGTCTGGCATGGTTTCTACATAGATTTTATGTAGCATAAGCTACTTATTGTTTTATCTGTTCTCTCTGCTGCTGGCTCACTGGGAATAATTCAGTGAATCAAAATTGCCAGAATAGGACTATACACAAAACACTAAGGAATATAAAACATCATACACAATAATATTGAATTTGAAAATGAAGCTTGTGGGACAGTGTCCAGTGAGACAGAAAAAAAAAAAAAAAAGCAAGCAAGCAACCACACTAGGTAAAGTTTGTTTCCCTTGATATTATTTTTCAGAGATTAATAGATAAAATCTAGTTCCTAATGCATATCTCTACTGAATGTGTATCTACCCCATGCCATTTTTTTTAAGATTTCATTTAATTATTTGACAGTGAGATCACAAGTAGGCAGAGAGGCAGGCAGAGAGAGAGGGGGAAGCAGGCTTTCTGCTCAGCAGGGATGCTGAGGCAGATGTGGAGCTCGATTCCAGGACCCCGAGATCATGACCTGAGCCGAAAGCAGCGGCTTAATCCACTGAGCCACCCAGGCGCCCCAACCCCATGCCATTTTTTTAAAAACAGATCATCTCTTGGATAGTACTAAGTACATTCTTTACTCCATATTTTTCATCTGCCTTCCAATAAGAATGTTTAGTATTACTACTAACACTTAATATATTTTCTCCTTGCTCTGTTGCTCACCAGCAATAGATGTTGAAGAGTTTTTTGTTTTGATTGATTAAAATTCTAATGTAGGGGTGCCTGGGTGGATCAGTCGGTTAAGTGTCTGCCTTCAGCTCACGTTATGATCCCAGAGTCCCAGGATCAAACCCTGCATCTGGCTCTCCTGCTCAGTGTAGAGCCTAGTTTTCCCTCTGTGCCTCATCCACTCATTACTCTTTCTCTCAAGTAAATAAATAAAATCTTAAAATAAAATAAAACAAAATAAAATTCTAATTTATATGCCAAGTATAATACTAGGAATTAGTACCTTTCCTGACACGACTATAATAATATAATCATGCCTAAATGATATAATGTGAGTGTAAAACACCAATAAAATTGTACAGATCCTAAGTAAAAGCTATAGATATTTTCAGGTTCCCACAATTTTAAATATGCATGAAAGAAACACAAATTTTTATCTCTGTTTTGTTTTACAAGCCAGTTATCACATTGGCTGTTATACTTCAAGACCTCTGGAAAATTACTCAACCTTTCCAAGCAACACTTTGCACACCTGTAACAGAGATAATAACTCTATGTTGCCATATATCTGCAAAGATTAAACATGATATTATTTAGGACATATATGGTTGAGCATATGGCACAGAACAATTGTTCTCTATAGAAGAGATATTATTATTTAAAAATTCCTATCAAACACTCACATGACATAGGTGTAATGGTGACTGCCTATATCTTCATCTGTTGCATATTTAAACAAATTACACAGAAATGGGGTGTCTGGTGGCTCAGTTGGTTAGGCATCTGGCTTCAGTTCAGGTGATGATCTTAGGGTCCTAGAATTCAGCCCAGCATCAGGTTTCCCACTCAGCTGAGAGTCTGCTTGTCCCTCTCCCTCTATCTCTCCTCTTCTCCCTGCTCATGTTCTCTCTCTCTCTCTCAAATAAACAAATCTTTAAAAAATAATAATAATACAGTTAAACAAGGGTAGTACATAAAAAGAACATAACACATGCCTTAAGCATAACTAGAAGGCAAAAGATGTGTGACTATAAAATAACCTATAAGATGTGAAATAAACACTCAACTGAGTGGGAAGAACTGGACAGATATGCAGCTAGTGTGCACAAAATATGGTTGTTACATAATTTATTTCATACTTTTTATAGCTTTAAGAACAAAAATATAAGAAAAAAAGAAAATGTGATATTAGGAACAACAAGAAATTTAAGAATAAATCAATGAAATGAGCTTTACTCAAGTCTTTATAGTAAAAATAAGTATTTTTATTACTTGGAACACTCAGGAAAATGATTCTTGCTTTATAGCCACTAATGCTCTATTTGGTATTGTAAATCAATGAGGAAATGGAACCTATAGAGGGTTTGAAAGAAAGACATAACAAAGTTACTTCAGGTCTCACAGTAAGCTTAAGGAAATGAACACAACATTGCAGGTATCTGTGAGATGGATATTGGAGGATACTCTAGAAGTTGAAATTTTATTTTTCCTTTATTGGATCTTCACAATAACATCTATTCATATTAATACATACTTTCATTAGTTTCTAGAAAACAGTACTTTATACAGCAAGTTTTTGAAAGCTTGTTTTACTTGCTGGTTCCTCAGGGTATAAATAAAAGGGTTCAACATGGGGGCAATTGAGGTGTTGAGAATAGCTGCTCCTTTGGTCAGTGATGCTCTTTCTTTTGCTGAAGGCTTGACATGTATGAATATACAACTCCCATAAGAGATGGAAATGATGATCAAGTGAGAGGAGTAATTGGAGATAACCCTTTTCTTCCGACTAGCAGGTGGGATTCTCAGGATACTAAGGATGTACAGGTAGGAGAGAATCACTAATGCTAAAGTAAAGAGCAGAGTGACAAAAGCAGAATAAAACCAATCATCTCTAAAAGCCATCAACTCTCTGAGCATGAGAGTTGTAAAATGGGCAAATAGTCACAAGAGAAATGATCAATTACATTGGAAGCACAGAAACCTAGCTGGAGGATGAACATGAGTGATAGGAAAATGGTAAGAAATCCTCCTAGCCAGGACCCAAAGACACACAGGGTGCATATTTTTTTGCTCATGATCATGGTGTAATGAAGATGCTTGCAAATGACAATGTATCAATCAAAAGACATGGCAGTGAGAAGAAAAAATTCAGAAATACCCATGAAGATGATGAAAAGTAGTTGAGCTAAACGATTGTTATAGGAAATGGTCTTGGCATTTGTAATGATTGCCCCCCAAAATCTGGGGATAGAGACACTGGTGAATGTGATTTCTAAGAAGGAGAAATTCTGCAGGAAGTGAAACTTAGGAGTCTTGAGATGTCATTCTATCCAGGTGAGGATGATGATTTTTTTTTCAGTGACACTTAATATATAAGCCATAAATAAAAAGAAAGATTACAACCTGAAGCTGTGTGTCTTGTGAGATGCCCAAGTATGAACTCTGTAAACATTGTATGGTTTCTCATGCTGCTTTTATTTTCTTTAAGCAAAATCTACTCTACTATTGGGAAACAAGACTTAAAAAAAAAAGTGTATGTTAATAGTAAAGGAATTGAAGATTTAAAAATTTTAATGTTCATATTAGTAGTCCATATGAAATGAAGCAATGGAACTTTTTCTTGTGTGCATTTTTGTCTGTCACAAATAATATACACAACCTCTCTTGATAAGGAAAATCGTATTCACAGTTCTATTAAAATTCCCCTCTTGAGTGCCTTTATGTAAGACCCGTACCTGTACCCAAATGGTCAATATGTGCAGTAGCTCTCTTATGTTTCTACAGCAACACAGTAATTATATTTGGATTTACATATTGAGACACCATGTTCCAGTTTCCAAGATTGTGTGCTCTTAGGAGTGAAATATCTAATTTTGAGTTTTAATTTAGAGGCCTTTAAAATACCTTCTTGTTTTGTAAAGCTTTGATGGAAATTAAAGACCCAACACAATTAGAGATCTTAAGAATAGCTTAATTATTTTATTCTTAAGGTGCATTCTTTTAAATATGTTCTGCAGAAATAAATGTGTTTCCAATCACAGAAATATAAGACTAGAATTATCTTGGTTGTAAATAAAAGTAAACATCCTAATTTATGGCAAACATTTAGTGAAGCCAGAGATACTAATTAATACTCACCTAGATAGACCTAGATCAATAATATAGTTCATATTACATATTGATCTATTTTTATCATTTTAATGTTCTTTTTGTAATTAACAATTAATTTTGTTTTGCAACTATGTTCATTTGGTCTTTTCAATCTTAAACTTGTTTGAGAACAAGAAGGAATTCATAAAGGAGTTTTTAAATTCCAACATGTCTCATTGCCTTCTTTCTAGAAGAATAAATAGGTAGAATAAAGAAAATTCTAAGATTTACTTTATAGAAAACACAAATTGTAAAACTAGTCTATATGGCTTTCACCTGTGTTGTTCTCTTTTTATCTTGGTAAACAGAATTTCCTTTGTCCTATAGGTTCCCAATATTTGCTGATCTTTATTTTATAACATGAACTGGTCAAATGAGTAGGTGATAAGTGTCAGTGCTGTATTGTGCCTTATTTTCCTGTTTTAATTTTTTTCTGATGATCATCATTGTCTTCCTTTAGAAATAGACACATATTTTGAGCAAAGTAAAATATCAAAATGCTCACTCTTTTGGGTTTTCCACATAGAGTATCATGTCATCTGCAAAGACTCCACCCCAAAATTGCTACAACTCATACAGTAATTCAGCAATGTGGCAGGATATAAAATTAATGTACAGAAATCAGTTCCATTTCTAAACACTAGTAATGAGACAGGAGAGAGAGAAAGTAAGGAATTGATCCCATTTATAATTGCACCCCAAACCATAAGATACCTAGCAATAAACCTAACCAAAGAGGCAAAAAAATCTGTACTCAGAAAAATAGGATACTTCTGAAAGAAATTGAGAAAGACACAAAGAATTGGAAAAACATTCCGTGCTCATGGATTGTAAGAACAAATTATGTTAAAATGCCTGTGCTACCTAGAGCAATCCATACAGTCAATGCAATGCCTATCAAAATACCATCAACTTTTTTTCACAGGTTGGAACCAATAATCCAAAAATTTGTATGAAACCAGAAAAGACCCCAAATAGCCAAAGGTATGTTGAAAAAAAAAAAAACCCACAGCTGTGGCAAAACAATTCTTGATGTCAAGCTCTATTTCAAAGCTGTAATCATCAAAACAGTATGGTACTGGCAGAAAACCGATCAAGGATCATGATAGAGAACCCAGAAATGGACCCCCAACTCTATGGTCAACTAATCTTTGACAAAACAGGAAAGAATATCCAATCGAAAAAGGACAGCCTCTTCAACAAATGGTGCTGGGAAAATTGGACAGCCACATGGAGAAGAATGAAAATAGACCCTTTCCTTACACCATACACAAAAATAGACTCAAAATGGATGAAAGACCTCAGTGTGAGACAGAAGTCCATCAAAATCCTAGAGAAGAACACAGGCAGCAACCTCTTCAACCTTGACAGCAACAACTTCTTGCTAGACATATCTCCAAAGCCAAGGGAAGCAAAAGCAAAAATGAACCTATTGGGACTTCATCAAGATCAGAAGCTTTTGCACAACAAAGAAAACAGTCAACAAAATCAAAAGACAAATGACAGAATGAGAGAAGGTATTTGCAAGTAACATATGAGATAAAGGGTTCGTTTCCAAAATCTATAAAGGAACTAACAAAATCAACACCCACACAGCAAATAATCCAGTCAAGAAATGGGCAGAAGACATAAACAGACATTTCTGCAAAGAAGACATACAAATGGCCAACAGACACATGAAAAAGTGCTCAACATCATTTGGCATCAGGGGAATGCAAATCAGAATCACAATGAGATACCACCTCACACCATTCAGAATGGCTAAATTAACAAGCCAGGAAACAAAAGATGTTGTTGAGGATACTGAGAAAGGGGAACACTCCTACACTGCAAACTGGTGTAGCTGCTCTGGAAAACAGTATGGAAGTCCTTCAAAAAGTTGAAAAAGGAGATACACTATGACCCAACAATTGCACTTCTACCAGCTTTATTGCCAACACTATTAGTAGATGCTTTCTCAGAAATAACTGAGTCACTATGATTTCCCATTAAGCTTTTTTGAAGCATTCTCTCAGGGCTTCAACATACTTTGGTATTAGTATCCTCAACATTCTCTCTAATGCTCAAAGTTTGCCTTCCATAGCTATCTCTTTCATTATTTTTAAAAGCTAAAATTCCTCCAATATCTTCTTTCTTTCCAAAGGACTTACAGAAATCCTACCTTCACCTGAATCCTGACTGACAAGTGATCCATGCTGTAAGAATGTGCAAATTTATGATTTCTTATAATTATGACATTTTGTGATTCCATATATAACTGGCAGTATAGCCTTAAACCAAATATACTGATTCATGAGATGGTAGCTAAGACAGTGTATTATTCCACAGCAACTCTTTGTGGGTGTAAACCCCAAAAGATCAAGTAGCTACTAGCTCAAAGGAGAAAAGTAGGTTGAGTCTTGCAACATGCTGCATCAAAAAGAAGAGCAGAAGATGTTAATTAGCAGTTGGGATAAACAAAATGGTGAATGGTGTTCCTCTTACTTTTCTCTAAAGACAATTCCTGTAATTCTGTAATTCCAACTGCCATGGAGAATGGGAATTGAGGAGTAGAGTCACCAAGGCATAGGGGACGAACCTCCCTGCCCCAATTAATTTTCCTTTGGCAGACACTTATTTCAGAAGGACAATTTGGGAGGATACAGGCTTTTAGGGATTGGCATTTCAGAATATGGTGTGTACTTGATATTACACTGATCAAATAAAATGATTCTGTCTTCTGGAGAGATTCCTCAGAGAATAAGAACACCAATGTGTGGGAACTGGGGAGGGAAAGCCAGTTAAGACAGAAGGATGACAGAGATTCTGAATTTGCTAAGCCAAATGTGCTAAATGTAGATTTGGTCAAATTGCATGAGCAAAAAGGAAAGAACTTAAGGATGCACACAATAAAATGGGTGAATCTCCAAAACATGGCTGAGCAAGAGAAACCGTGATTTCTTTTATAAGAAATTCCAGAAAAGGAAAAGTGATTTCTGTGACCAAAAGACATCTGTGTTTATCTGAATCCACTAGCAGGCATGGAGACCAGAGGGAATGGCTGGGAAGAGGCCAAAGAAATTATTAAGTATGATGCAGATATTCTGTACATGCTTTGTCAATAGCTATACAAATTTGTTGGATTTAAATGATTATATTTGCTTTTATGTAAGACATACTTAATACATTTGTTTACATTGACATGTAAATCTTATCATTTTGTGAGCATTACCACACTATAATACAGAGGTGTGCAAATGTTGTTGGAAAATGGCACTAATAGACTTGCTTAATGTAGGATTATCACAAACCTTCAATTTGTAGGAAACATAGTACATGGATAGTACAGCAAAGCAAAAGACAATAAAATGAAAATGAATAAAATTTACCTATATCACATTTTGTTTATACATTCATCACTTGAAGTTTACTTGTTTTTTTCTTATGCATGATGTGTCTATGAAAATGTGTGTTGAAGTTCTTGTGTGAACGTGTGTTTTCAGTTCCTAGAAGTAGAATTTCTGGATTATATAGTAACTCTATATTTATCTTCTTGATGAGCTGCCAAATTTTCTAAGTGGCTGCACATTTTACATATGCAATAGCAGTGTATGAAGGTTTCAAATTCTGTATATCACTTGTTATTTTGTACAGTAGCACTTATGTAGAGTATACATAATGTACATATACATATATGTACACACACACACACACACACATGCAGACACCCATACAAATACATATTATAACTGTCTTACTGGCTGTAAAGTGGTAGTACTGTTCTTGAACATCTTTTCATGTGCTTTTTTCCTGTTGTATATCTTCCTTAAGTCCCTTGTCTATGTTTTGTTAAGTGTTTGTTCTTTCTTATTGTTCAGTTGTAGGAGTTATTTTAAGTGATTTTAACCAGGGTAGTACAACATTGTACCAAGAAATTAACAAAATTTTTAAAAAATTAAAGAAGTCCTAAATAAATAACGAC